TGTGTGTGTGTGTGTGTGTGTGTTCTCCAAAAATGAGTTATATCCTCACATGTACTAGGAAGACTAAGGAGAATATGGGGAAATTAGAATCCTTGCACACTGCTGGTGGGAATGGTGCAGCTGCTGTGGAAAACAGTTTGGCGTTAAATATGGAATTGCCAGTCAGGTGTGGTGGCGCACGCCTGTAATCTCAGTAGCTCAGGAGGCTGAGGCAGGAGGATCGTGAGCTCAAAGTCAGCCTCCACAACAGCGAGGCACTAAGCACCTTAGTGAGACCCTGTCTCTAGATAAAATACAAAAGAAAAAGGGGGCTGGGGATGTGGCTCAGTGGCTGAGCACCCCTGAGTTCAATCCCCCATATGCCCCCCCCAAAAAAGGAATTACCATATGACCCAGCAATTCCACTCCTGAGAATATGCCCAAAAGAAATAAAAGCAGGTGTTCCAACCCAAACTTACATAGGAAGGTTCCCAGCAGCCAAAACAGGAAACACCCAACGTCCACCTACACTCAGTGGATAAAAACGGATGAGGGTAGAGGCCCCACGACACAGTGAGCCCTGAAAACAGCAGGCTAAGTGGACAGAGCTGGCCAGAGGTGCCGCGGGTCATGTGCCCCCACTTACGGGAACCGGAAGGGGCCCGTCCAAAGGGGTGGAAAGCAGATGGGTAATGGTAGCCTGGGGAAGGGCAGGAGATGGGGACAGGGAGAGTGGGGAAGGACAGCTAAGAGGGTACAGAGATTCTTTGGGGGTCATAAGAATGTTCTTAATTGCTGTGGCGATGGTCACACACATCTCTGACCGTACACTTGGAATGGGCGGATGGTAGGACACGTGCATTATATTTTAATCAAGTACTTCTGAAACCATGAGTTGCCATTTTGTTTGAAATTGGATGATTTCGTATGGAAACCCGGCTTTTTTCAAGTTTCAGAAGATCTGTCAATTCCAGGCCCAAGAGTCCCAGTGAGACCTGGGGGAGCATGTGCCCCTTTATCAGAGACTGTATCACCATCTACCATCCACCCCCCACCTACCACTCACCTGAGCCACTGGCCAACCTCAGGAAGCCCCTGGGCTGGGCCCCGAGTGGGGATTTTCCATTTGCGAAGGACCCACATTCCTAAGGAGTGGGACCTCCAGCCCTCCAGGAAGGCACATGGACCACACCTGGGGTGACACCTGGGAAATCACACACAAGACCCTGCGCATCCCCGAGGAGAATTCACAGGCTTCCCCTGGATCCTCAAAGGCAGCCGTGGCTCAAAACAGGTCAAGTACGGGCCTCAGTCGTCTCCTAAGATACACACCAGGGCTCCCCACATTTTGTGGATAAGAAAAGTCGGGATCCAGCGGGAGATGGCTAGTATAAGATGCCACACCTCCCAGCACCCCACCCCTTGACCCTGAATGCAGAGCCTTTCCCTGCAAGTCCACTCCTAAGAATATGTCACCAGAAAGGCAAGAGCCAGCAGGGGCTCCCGCCTCCCCAGGGCCCCTCTCCAGGCTGGAGACGATACTATAGGGATACTGCCAGGCGCTGATCATTTGCTCCTTTCTTGCCAGGCCAAGCCAGCTCTCCATCAGTCAGGGCCCAGCTCAGGGGCACGGATGGAGCAGGCCAGGGTGTTCCTGGGGGTATCAGCCACAGGGTGCCTGCTGGCAGGGGAGGCTGGGGGAGGCCAGGGGTGAGCTCAGAAACATACTGCGTGCTCCACTGGTTTACTGTAGTTCTCATCACACTCCTGGAGCCAGGGCAAAGAGAAGGAGGTCAAGGGCAAGGGCACCATGAAAAGCTTGCACCCTCAGCTGGGCCAGGTGGAGTGCACCGGTAATTCCAGCAACTCAGGAGGCTGAGGCAGGAGGATTGCAAACTGAAGGCCAGCCTCAGTAACTTTGTAAGACCCTGTCCCAACCTAAAAAGGGCTAGGGGTGTAGCTCAGTGGTAGAGCACCCCTGGGTTCACTCTCCCCTATGGGGGTGGGGGAAGAAAGGGAGGTGAAGCCCCCAGAGGAGGGCCTGGCCCTGACAGTGCTGCACTCCTCCTGTCAAAGAAATACTCAGCCGTGGCCACCTTGGGGCTCGGTGAACAGAATTCACCCCTGTACTGGCCACAGGACCTGTTTCACCAGGGACTGACCCAGAGCCCCCCGCAGGGCCACACCTTTGGGTCTCTGCTCAGCGCTCCATCTCGTGACGCCAGCTGGCCCAGAAGTGAAGCCACCAGCTCTGGCTGCAGGAGAACTTGGGTCTGAGTCCCTGCTCCGTGGCTGTCTGGATGACGACCCTGGACACAATACCACACGCCTTCAAACCTCGTCACCTGCCAAACGGGGACGGCCACACTCGGTCTCCACGCCAAAGGTGGCTGGGGAGGTTCTGTCCCCCACAGTCTTCCTTGGCACCTGCCCCTACTCTCGGAGGTGGTCTAGGGACATTTTCTCAGCTAATGAAAAGTATCAGACAAAAGCAGCCTCAACCCTGCCTTTGGCCCTGTCCCCCACCAGATGGCCGCCCCTAAACCAACCCGGGGAGAAATGACCGAGCTGCTGCCGGGAAGAGCACCCTCCTCACAGAGCCATCGCGACCATCCCTCGGGACAGTGCTGGCTCCGTGGCTGGCCCACGCTAAGTAGGCGCTCCATAAATGTGCCATCGCCCACGTCCAGAGCTGCCTCCCACACCGACTTCATTCTGCCACCCAGGACTTGGGCCATGGTACGGGCCCACACTCAGGGACTCCAAGCTGACTTTTACAGCCCAAGTCCAACCCAACTGGGAAGCAAAATTCATCACATGCATGCACTATTAAAAAAATCATCAGAAACAGGCCAACAGCAACGAAACAAAGCGTGGCCTGGCTCTGGATGGCCCCCCGCCTGGGGCACTCTGCCATCCCTTTCTCCATCACTGAACAGACAATCCAAAGCTGCCTGGCACCACAGAGAGCCATGGCTGCGGGGTGTCTGGGGCTGGAAGGGACTCACAAGGAGCACATGTCCTCCTGCACATGCATGTGGGGCGTGCCCGGCTCTTGGCTGGAAACCACAGATCCTGCAACCTCTGGTGCCCCCGGGCAACCCAGGAAGGCACGCAGGCTGGCCGACCTCCTGTGCAACTGCCAACCTGCAGACAGGCAGGGCCCCCAGGGGAACATCACCCTGCCCCCTGCAGACCAGGAAGTGCCTAGCTGGCTCAGGGATGCAGCCTGGGGGCCTGACTCCCCTGCACAGGCTCACCGTCCACCTCAGCCACTGCCATTACCACCCGGGACCCCACTGCTGCCCCACCACCCACACAGCGTCCAGCACCACCAGGAGAGCAGCCCGAAGGGGACCTTGTGTAGACCCAGCCCAAGTGTCTTCCTAGACCCGGGGCTCGGGGCACAGTGGGAATCCTCTCCGGAGGTCAGCACACACAGCCCACCTCTGCTGGGAGGACTGAAACTGAGCCGGTTGCTGTACTCTTGCAGGGAGACAGGATGGAGGGCTACACAGCCCTCCCCAGCCTCCTAACCTGCCCAGTGCTGACACCAAGACTGTTCAAACCCCCCCTAAAATCTGAGCCCCCCACCACCATTCTAGCTTCAGATAAGGCCCCTCCTTTGTGGAGGGACCCCCCTTACCCACGGCCAGGCCAACTGCAGACATGACAACGAAATGCCCACACCTGGGTTAACCAGGACCAGCCAGGACCCTGAAGACCCTCCCAGCAGGACTCAGACTCTGTTAGGAAGAGCACTGGACCCAAAGTCCAGGGACCTGGGTTCAGGGCCGATTCTGCACTCCCTTCTACAGCATCAACTCCCAAATTTCAGATATGTGTGAACCGAGCTCAGTTTTGCTGACTCCCTATTATTACTATTACTGAAGACTTTCTTATCCAGTCTGTTTTTTCACTTAAGTGAATTTGGGATCATCATAAATCACAGAAGCCTATAAAAAAAATCCCAGATTAGAAGTGTAACCATCAAGATGTTAAATGTTCACATACCTGATATCTAAATCCCACATTTTTGGAAATATCAACCCTGAGCAAATCTCTCTTCCTGTCTCAGTTTCCACAATTAGAAGAGAAGACAGCACTTAATGGCTCTGGTAGGTCTCGTCAGACCTTCTACAAAACTGGTCGAGCTTCAGCTCCCATGCATCCAGAGCCAGCTGGTCCGGACCTCAGGACTGGCCTGGCCCAAGGCAGGGGAGGTCAAGGAAAGAGAGCCTGGCACCTGGCAGACAGAGAGTCGGGGCCCCAGTGCCATGAGAGGTAGTCGCTGGACACTGAGCCCTCCCCCCACTCCAGGGCTCCCAAGGACCCCCCAGCCAGTTCCCATCTCAAGCTCCACATAACTGGGAAGTGAAGTTTGCAGTCAGAACATCCTCACTCATTTGTTCTTCTTACAACTGGGAAACTGAGCTTCCAGGAGGAGAAAAGAGCTGATGGGGAAAACATAAGTCCCCCCAATGTCACATCTCCCCAGCACCCCACCATGGTCATGCACCCCACAGATCTGAGCCTCCCCCAGCACCTCCCGCCTGGAGGCATCAGCTCAGGACGGCTGAGTCCCAGAGTGGCCTTGCAGTCCCTCCCAGGAAGGGAAATACTGGAATTCTCGTCCAGACTGGAGTTTCAAAGTTCGATTCAAGTGGCTTTGATGCGATTAGACTGGAATGAATGTGTGGAGGCACCCCAATAGGGATCTGCCAGGCCTGGGCAGTGGGGAGTCACCTCCCATCTGAACTGTGCCCACAAGAAGGAAACGCGACCCCTGGGAAACGAAGGGCACGTTAGTCTCCGTATGTAATGGATTTTACTGACCATATGGAACTGATATAAAATCATGTTGCACGGGGTAGTCTGGACGAGAGACAGGAATGTGACATGAAAAATATCCCTCCATCACCAGCTGGGTGGCTTTCTGAGTTTCTGGAACAGCCACCCCCCCGCCCCCGCCCACTCCAACAAGACCCCCAGCAAGTCCCCACCAGTCCCCGGGCACCTACCTGCTGCTGTCACGGAGGAATCCCAGGCCAGCGAGAAGTCCGAGGCCTCCCCCTCTTCAACTGCAAGAAAGAACAGAGTGGGCTGTGAGTCTGGAGGAGCCCAGACAGGCCACGGGGCTGGGGCGCGGGGCACGGAGACGGACGTTTGCGGGGGTCCTTACAGACTGTCCACGACCAAGGGAGAGGGGGGAACGCCCACAAGGGGGGCTCTGTGGGTTTCCCAGAGACACAACAGGATCAGAATAAAACAGGGATGGCCGGTGAACGCGGGTCAGTTACGGTCCCCTCTCTCCACACCCCTGGGAGACGTCGCCGATGCGTCACACACTGGTCCGGAGCCACGTGCCACATCAGAATCTCTCCCCAGTGCTTCAGGCCGGCGACACCTACGCCAGCTCCTGCTCACCAGAAAGCCACTTGCCACTCATGGGATTCAAGCAAAGACCCAGGATGCTCCATGACCCTGCAGCATCCTCCCCCTACCAAGTGCCACCTAGACGGCCACCGAGATACAAAGACTTTCTCAGGGGCCAGTCAAGGGCAGGGTACCAGCCCCCACGCCCAGACACAGATCTCAGGACAGGCTGAGGCCAGCTCTCCCGCGGTCGACAGGTTTGAGCACTACAGCTCACGAGCTGGTGACATTAGAAGACAAACGTCCCCCCAACTCCACCCCTGGGCTCTGCAGCGTGAGGCTGAGCGGGGATGGGTGGCCCCCACCCCACAGCCCCGCACGCAACACCAGGTTGGTGGAGCCACCCACCAGAACACGGGAGAAACCCTATACAGCATAATAACGCTCTTGTCCTGGAATGAGTCCCAGGCTGGGGCATGTAATAATATTAAAGCCGGGTTATAGACTTTGTAAATGGAACTTTGTTTAAGCCAAAAATGTGCACACACGGTATTTTTCAGATTTAACGGGCTCTGCAGCTCGACACATGTGCAGCCCGAAGCCACCTCAAGCCTCTTGGCCCTCTGCACTGGGATGCTCACGCCTGCAGCACCTGGGTGAGAATGGGGGCCGGGCGCTGCCTCCCACCCCCACCCGTGCGCTCCACTCCTGAGACTCTCCCAGGTGAAGGCACCGCTAGTGAGTGCCTGTGCAGCTTGGGCTTCAACCCCAGACTGCCTGTCTCAAAAGTTGCTCCTGAAACCACTATAAACTAGGCAGGAAGGATACTGTCCAGCACCCTGCCACTCAGGCTGGAGAGCAGGAACCCCAGCCCTCCACAGCGAAGGCAGGCACTCGGCAAGCTGGTGGCCAACCAGCGAGGGGAGCGCACGGGCTGGCTGTGGGCAGAACGCTGCCCCTCCCCAGCTGTGCCACCCTGAGCCTATCAACCTCTGAGCTCTGGCTTCCCATCTCAAAAATGGTCACGATACGCTGTCGGGAGGATTAAAAGTGCATGGTGACCGCACGGGCTAACTGCCCCAGGAATGTCAGGGCTGTCATCTGCTGGGACACTGGCCCAAGCCCTCAGGCGGGCCTGGTGTGGGGACTCAAGCAGTCCTGAAGCCGGCTCCCCTGCAGCACCTACCATGGTCTTCCTCCCTCTCCGAGCCTCGCAGAGCCACAGTGTGTTTCCTTCAACCCTCAGAACTGCTCGGGCAACAGTCACTGTCCACGTCAGTGAGCACCAGGCCAAGGAATGCTCAGGAAATGCTCTTGCTTTTCCAAGTTTGCATCCTGAGAGTAGAAACTCCAAATCCGGACAATGAAATACAGAGACGATCTGGGCAGGGACCGAAGCTATTGTTTCACTTAGCCCACGGCAGCTGGGGTGGGCTTCCAGCTACGCCGCTTCGTAAATAGGAGTCAGAACCTCGTGTCGGACAAAAGTGAGATGATTCACCAAACGATGCTAACCAGAAAGGCCCAGAAACACGGCAGATAATGCTGGACCAAGTCCTTCAGGGAAGGGGCACTCACTGCCACCCCCCCCACACACACACACACACACAGCACTTCTGCCAAGAGACCACTGCCCACGTGTAAGGTCACCCTGCTGCCATTTTGTTGAACACTTTCAACAAGGTCCGCTTGGGCCCTAAGCATCACCGGTCATGGTATTGTGACATTAATGTATGACAGCTGCTCCCCTTTTGCCCTCTGTGTACCCCGCATCAGGACAAACAGCCCCCACACTCAGGCCCACTCCAGCGGTGAAGAAATCTGACCTCAGGAGTCACTGAACTTGAGACGGTCCCGAAGATGCCCAGCCCCTCCTTTGAGGAGACCAGGCCTCAGTCATAATGAGAAAAAGAATAAGAGAACGTCCCCCCCCCATCCTGGAGCTCTCGGGGACATCAAGGCTCTGTTCGGGGTTCCAGGACCCCCAGAGAGCCTGCAGAGATAGGAAGATGAGGGAGCGGCCCGAGGCCTCAGGGCTGCAGGGACCTCACGACCGGCTTCCTGGACCCTCCCTGGCAAGTGGCTGCGGCGCACGAGGCAGATCCCACGGGCGTCCCTGCACAGCCACGGCCCGTGACCCACCCTGAGCCTGGGCATGGGCACATTTTCCCACACATGCCGCCGTGCACCCCACTCAGACACCAGCCTGGGCCCACATCTGATTTCTGAAGATAAGATATGAACACACCGTCCTTCATACGCTGTTGATAAGAAAAAGAAATCACCACTACCCCCGAGGCCTGTACTACCCAACACCGAGCGAGTGACGAGATTTTCCTGCCCCAGCCGGACTCTGCTGCCCAGGCTGGGTCTTCAACCAAGGTGCGACCAGCAAGACCGAGGCACAGAGAAAGGCCGCACCTGCATCAGGAGCCGGGGGCTTGTAGAGCGACCTGAGCCCACTGTGGCAGTGGGCACCCTTTAGGGAACCCGGGTGCAAGCCCCCCAAATCCCTCATATGGAACTCCACTGCGGTAGCACGATGAGCCCTGAAGGCTGGGCATCTGCGAGACAGCACAGGGTCGGCCTGCACGGCCCACCAACGGGGATGCCCACCAGCCTGGCCGATTTCTGGAAACTTCCTCAGATTCTACCTCAAACTCTCTAATTCATGAGATTGGGCGGCCCTGAGACCAGAGCCCCACTCCCACCCTGTGCATGACGGGCATTTGTGGGGAGGGACGGGTGAGCACAGGGCAGATGCACAGAGAGGGAGGTGGGTGAGTGGGGGTCACCGTGTGAACTGAAGCTGGTGGCCAGGGGAGTGTGTCCCTATCAGATGCTGCACAGAGAGCTGAGGGACAAGGAGGATATGCCACGCCGGTGTGTGCACACAGAAGCAAAACCCTGTACCCAGGGAGGGTCCCTGGGAGCAGTGGGAATGCATGGGGTGGGGGCACAGCAGGGGCTGACCCACAGTGGAGCTCCAGCCCCAGAGTCTGTCATGAGCTCAAGACCCCCCTGAGCCACTCGGTCCCACATTTTTTGTGACATTTGCAAAATTAAGATCTGCTACCTATTTAAGACACTGTCCTTCTATCCCTCAAATCTCTTCCATCCCACCTTCCTGGTCACCTTGTTGGTCACCTTGGGGTGACCATGGCGTTTGGCACTGTCTCAAAGGGACCCAGCTCAGCTGCTTGCCTCACAAAGCAGTTCCCTGCTGGGGCCAGCGGTAGAGTTCAGGTACCCGCTGCCCGAGTGAGTGCGTGCGAATGTGCCCACTGGTGAGGTTGCAGGATGCAGAAGGGCTTGGACTTGTCCTTGGTCACACAGCCAGGCAGCAGCTGCCTCCTGGCCCTGATTACAGGCCTGAGCTCTGTCCCAGCTCCCTGCCTCGGCCTCCACAGCCTCACACCGGCTCGGCCTCCAAAAGTCTTTCCTGGGCTCTCACCCGCCTCCATCGCCCACCCAGCACCAGCTCCATGCAAACACTTAGCAGGCACTCAACAAGCATTTCAATAGAGAAGCCAACTCCACCCCGGGGACGAGAGCCCGCCAGGAGCTGAGTGTGTTGTGAACCAGATCACAGGTGACCCAGCCACAGACTGTCCCCTACACAACACTGTGGCCCACCCCCTGGCCCCGTGGCCATGCGGATCCCTGGAGCAGAGGGCAGTGCACTCCAGTCCAGCCCCACCGGGAGGCCCAGGTCCACCCTGGCTTGGAGAATAAGCCACTCAGGGCTGGGTCAGGTGGACGCTCACAGAGAACCCCAGTCACAGGCTGGGTCCTGGGTGGAGCTGGGGGGGTGCGCATCCACACCCTGAGCCTCTCCAGCACCTCATCAAGGAGGGAGCAAGGCCAAGCCAGAGCCCTGCTCAGACCCCACCTGGAGGGCCTGCGGCGGTCACACCTGCAGGGCCCCTGCTGGGGGGCGTCAAGGCAGGCGGGACCGGGTTGTCAGAGGTAGCGCAGCTCAGGGGACAGGCTCTGAGGTGGACAGAGAGAGGAGGCGAGTGGGGGAGAGACAGAGGGGAAAGTGGTGGTCCAAGGGCCCAAGCAGGTCTACGGCAGAGCAGGGTGCAGAAGCCCCTCCAGGCTCCACGCCAGGCCTGCTGCCTGGCCCCAGCCCTGGCTGTCCACTTTGATGAATGTGCACATCATTTTCTGGGTATAGGAACCTCGGGTTTCTGGCCTCGGGCACCACGTCCACCCGTGCATGGGAGGCTTCCAGGAGGCACCGTACCCAGCGGAGGTGGTGAGGCAGGCGATGGCACGGACTGCCTCCCCTCGCTCACTAGGCCAGCCAAGGACAGCGGAGGGGGCAGTGAGAGCCCAGACGTCATTGTCAGGCAAGAGCATCCTGACTCAGTACCAAGCAAACTCAAAGACTGGAAAGGACAGATGGGGGCTGAAGTGTAGCTCAGTGGCGGAGTGTCTGCTGAGCGGGTGCGAAGCCTTGGGTTCCAAAAGGGGAAAACACACATACACACACACAGACACACACACACACACACACACACACACACACACACACACACACACACACACACACACACACACACACACACACACACACAAAGCAGGGAGGCCTGTCATGTATGGCTGTGCAGGTTGCACACTGCAGAAAGCAAAGGTGATGATAGGGAACAGAAAGTTAACCCAGGCTCCACCAAGCAGTGAGTCCTGGTGCAGGGCTGTG